ACAGCCAAGAATTCCTTCCCAATATCCCATCTATCCCTGCCCTCTGGCAGTGGCAAACCATTCCCTGTGTCCTCCCCCTCCATCCCTTGTCCCCAGTCCCTCTCCAGCTCTCCTGGAGCCCCTTTAGTGTCTGGAAGGGGCTCTCAGGTCTCCGTGGATCCTTTTCTTCTCCGGATGAACCCCCCCAGCTCTCCCAGCCTGTCCCCAGAGCTGAGGGGTGCTGTGATCTCCTCCCACACAGCTCAGCCTGAGCGACTTCCCGTGAAAAATACTGCATTTTGTTTGGGTTCCTCTCCACTTTTTTGAAGTGGTTTTGCTTCTTTGGCCTCCCTTTGCTGCCTGTCTCATGGAAGGTGAGCTCCAGTGGAGATGAAGGGAAGCCCAAGCCATCAGTGCCAACTGTGTGAGCTCTGCTGGGTTCACCCGGGTTATTAGTGGGACTGTTGATTTTTGGTCTTCAAAAGCCCAGGGCCAAGAGGGGTGGCAGGGCTGTGGTTGGGTCTTCACCTCTAATTTTCCCATCTGAAGGATCACAGTCTCCTCTCACCTCCCTGCAGGCGCTGGGTGGACTCACGCCGAGAGTTTTGACTTCTGTCAGCGAGAGAGGAATAAGTGCAAAAGGGTCTGAGATGCCTCAAAAACATCGTTTCCCAGCAACTAAACAGGAGCAGGGGGGAAAAAAGCAGGGAAAATAACTGGCTCTCTGGCAACCTGTTTGTTTTAGAAGTCGTTCCTGAGGCATGAGGGCTTGTTAGCATTAGGCTGACACTTGCTTGGTTTTCATCTTGCTCTCTCCGGGCTGGGAAAGGCAATGCCCTTTTGATGTCAGACATGAAGAAAGCAGGCTCCTGTGTGCCAGGTGGGGATTCCAGAGGAGCAGGGGATACAGCCCTCCTGCAGCAAACCGGTGGCTTAATGCACAGAGCTCCTTTGCTAATTCTTAGATCCTCGTGTTTAAATGTAAAAGGCGGTGGTGGTTAAACCGTGGATGAAGGAGGAGCTGGGGAATAATGAGGGTGAAGCTCGTCGTGATGAAGATGTGCTGCTGCTTGGGGAGAGGATCAGCACCAGGCTGGGATGTGCCATGGGGTGGTTTATGCTCTGCCTCTGGAATAAATTTGTCTGGAAACTCTGGGTGTCCATGATGCAGGAATTCATAGAGTCATNGGTGAGGAACGTGGGGGTCGGTAGGGAAGACAAGTGCCGTGGGTTTGAGGAGCTGCTCTGCTCTGTCCCAGCAGCTCTGGCAACACCTGGAGGGGTTTGCAGATGGTCAGACGAGCCAGGCAGGGAGATGCCGAGTGCTGGGGAAGAGCTGTGAGTTTGTGGTGGGTGGGTGGTGGGATCTGTGCTATCCAAACAGCAGAAATAGCTCCTGATGCTCCTCTGCGTTTCCCAGCCTGGCTGAGTCATCCCTCTACCTTTTCATTAACGTTGTGGGCGCCGCTGTTTTTGGGATCTTCCTTGTTGGCCCGTCCCCAGCCTGCCTTGGGTGGTGATTGCCTCCCAGGGAGGATGTGGTGGGATGTGCCTGAGTCCCCACACTGATGGAGAGGAGACTCAGGGAAGGGGGAGGATTTCCCTGAGCGGCACCTCCACGATTGTGACTGTTCCTGTGGCTTTGAGGGAAGTGGAAAACAACCCTCAGCTCCAGAGGGAAAACCACACTCCGTGGCATGAGGGTGAAACTAGAGAGGGGTTCCTACAGAAAGGCTTTCATCCTGTCCCAAAATGAGGGAGGAGGGGAGCTGGGGGTCCTCTCCAGCCTCCACGAGGGGCCTGGGGCTCCTCATTGCCTGCGCCTCTGGGATGGGAATTCCATTTTGGCTGAGCTCTCATGGGCCCCATGCCTTCCCTCTGTCTCCCTTTGTCTCTTTTCCCCTTCCCCTCCCTGTTGCAGCTCAGATGGACATCGGTGGTCTCCACTGCAGGAGGTGGTCTGGGGAGGTGGGTGTTCCTTTGGGCTCCTGCAACCAGATGTGGAGGGTTAATGGAAAGGTTTGATCCACTGATTGTCCTCCTTGGTAGGGAGAAGGTCGGAACTGAGGGCAGCGTTGGCTGGAATGGAACAGATCAGCTGGAAAGGCCCCACAACCACCATCCAGCCCACATTCACCTCCTGCAGCTGGGGGAGATCCCAGCCCTGAGCTGAGTCTCCCAGGGTGGTGGGAGGAGAGGATGGATTTGGGGCAAAGAGTATTAAAGGGGAAGAAGGGGAAAAGTGAAGCGTTGGATCAACTCTGAAACGTGCAGGTGACTCTGGGCAGTGTGGGCAGGGGGGAGGGAAGGGGCTGAAGGGGGTTTTCATCTCTCTAGTGGTTGTAATGCTCAGAGATTTTCGTGGCTACTGACCCAAAACACCCCGTTTCTAAGGGGAGAATTTGAAGAAGGTCGAGTAGAAGCACTAGAACAGCTTTTCTTTCTTTTAAATATGTTCTTACTGGCTATGGTGCTGCTGGGAGAGATGGTCCATGCTGAGGGGTGAGTGGGGATGTTCTCCAGGAGCTTTGCTGGAGCCACCAAATGGGTTAAATGAATAAAGGGAAAAACATAATGAATAGACATCAGTGACTCTGGAGAAACCAACCAACCTTCTCGAGCAGCACCAAGGTCACAGAATCCCAAAATGGTTTGGGTTGGGAGGGACCTTAAATCTCATCCAGTGCCACCCCCTGCCATGGGCAGGGACACCTTCCATAGAAACAGCTCCATGTCCTCTCAGGCTGCTCAGGAAGCATTTGGGGTCTCTTGGAGGACTTGCTGCTTGGGACTGTGACCCTGAGCTGTGCTTCTGGTGGAAGGGAGGCTTCGAGGTCATCTCGTTCCCGTGGAGTTGGGGCTTGAGGTCCTTTAGGCTCTGACTTGGGTTTGTGCTCCTTAAAGCCTCATAATTCCAAGCAGTTGTTGCCTTTTCTCCCTGCAGGTGCAATCCCAGTGGGAGACACTGTGCAGATCCCAAGGGTTTTGTCCCTCTCGTGTTTTTTTTGAATGGGACACTGAAAATTCCCTTTTGCCTGTGCTTGTGAGAGAGAGGAAAAGCCCTCTGTCCTCTCTGTCCTTAACCAGACCATGGGAAGAGACCTGGATTTCTCCCACTCTGCCTGAAGGCAAACACTGACCAAAATACCCAGGAGAACGTGCCTGGAATCACTTGCAAAACTGGGAGGGAAATTTAAGTTGACTTTTCTCCTCAGCCCTCTCTCAAGGTGCTGGAGGGAAGTACCCACTTCCACAGGGATTTATTTCCCAGGCTTTGTTACAGGAATGGTGGGGAGAAAGTCTGAGGGTCCTTTCCCATCCCAGTCTAGAAGGGAATGTGGCTTGTGAGGGTGTTTTCACTGCTTTATATTATTTTTTCAAAGCCTTGTCGAGGGTTAAAAGGAATGTCTGTCCCTCCTTGCTGCAAACATTCCAGCTTTCTCCTCCCTGCCTGCTCTCCTGCCCTGTGCCTGGCTTGGGAATTGTTCCTCCATCACCTCCAGGAGCCAGGGAGAGGTTTCCCCCTTTTTGCAGGCGGGGAGATGGGGTGGGACAGAGATTCCAGGCAAACTCCAGCTGTGCTCCCACCCCTCTGTGGCTCCCTGGAGAACGGGAATTCTGCCCAGCTCAGGGACAGCCACTGCCCTGTCACCGACCTGCTCCCCTGGGGCTTCTCTTGGGCTGTTTCCTCTCTCTCAGACCTTTTTTCTTTCCTATATTTAGTCCAAAACGCTGGAAAACAGGCCAGATTTTTGCTGTGCAGCAGGAAAACGGCTGGAAAGGGCCCTCTGGAACACACCAACGTGTCCCTCCAGGTGCACAGAACTTTAGAACAAATATTTTGCAATAGCAGCGGATTCTCTAAGGGGTAAAAAGCCTTTACCCTCAATTTTCTTCCCCTCCTGGCATAATGGATGGTGGGATGGGGAGGTTGGGATCTCCTCCAGTTGAGATCTCCAGCTAATCCCCTGCACTGGGTGCTAATTAAGCATCTCCTGCTCTCTAAACTCAGCTGAATGCAGCAATTTATCCCTTCAGAGGGTGCATTTCCACCAGAAGGTCTCACCCTGCCTGAGTTATTCCCTGTGAAACAATACTGAAAATATTTCCTGTGTGAGGTGTGCTGTGTGCTCAGAATCCCAGCTCCCTCCACCACCAGCTTTGGGATATCAAACCCATCAATCACTCTGCTTTTAATAATGTCTGCAGCCATAGATTCTCCCCCTGGAAGCCTCCTCCAAGTCTTGGATGACTTATGGCACCCGGGGCTGGGGCTGGATCCTGGTTTATTGGTGGTTCTTGTGCATCCACCAACATATTTCAGCAGAGGAGCCAGCCAAGGATTCCTGCAAAACTGGCTCTTGGCTTTGGGAAAAGTGCATTTTCTTTTTATCCTTCCCAACTTGGCCTCCTCTTCTCTGTCCCTGTGTTGGACACAGCTTTGATTTCCCTCCTCCTTTCCCTCCCTCCAGCTCTCTCAGTCTCCCAGTGCTCTCACACCCCCTTTCCCCCCTCCCTGCTGGGGTTGGGGACATGAGAGTCCCCAGTCCTGTGCTGAGGTGGTGGCCCCTCGTGTGCAGGGGCGAGGTTGTGGTTGTAGGAGCTGTGTCAGGGTCATGCTTTGTGCTCCCTGCTCTATAATTAAATATTAAAAAGCAATTTCCAAGCATTAAAAGGTTGATCTCCCTGACTCTAAGATCAGGTTTTCCTAACCCTGGAGGGCAGAGGCTTCGTTGTGGCTTTTGTGCCAGGCAGGAAAAGTGAGGAGAGGGATGGGACAGATGGATGCTCCTGTCTTGGATGGGTTTTTTTTCCTCCTGCTTCAAGCTCCCAGGTTGGCACAGCCTTTGCAGAAGGCTCCTGGTGCTCTGCATCACTCCTGGTGACTTTTCCTGGCCTTATTTCTCCTTTCCATCACGTTCCTGCAGCTTTTGTCACGTTTTCCACTCTATCTCCAGGCCATGCTACTGCTTGGTTGTTCAAGTCCATCCCACATTTCCCTGTTGGTTGAGCAGTGTTTTCCATAAAATATTGAAAATACAGCTTTTTATGTTTTAAACATCCTTCTTAAGATGGTGGGGCCCAGAAGTGCCCAGGGTGTTGCCTCACCTGGGGCACTGTGTGCAGTCCTGGGCCCCACCATGGGAGAAGGATGTGAAGGTCCTTGGATGAGGGTTCATAAAAATACCATTTTGAGGTGGTTAAAGGTTTTCTGAGGTGTTTGTGTTTTGCTTTCTGGCTTGGGCGTTGCTCGAGGTGAGATTTCCGAGCTTTCCTTGATGGTCTTAAGGATTAAGATCAAAAAAAAAAATCAGAGTTTCTGGGTGTCCTCAGTGCTGGCCTTTGAACATCCAGCCCTGTGTGATCACACAGCCCAGGGCTTGGCTGGGTGGAACGAAAGCTCGGGGTAATCTTGTGATGTCTGAGCAAGTCAGGTGCTGTGCTCACCTAAAAAAAGTTGCAGGTTTTAGGGCTGGAGGGGAGGAAGGTTCTGCAGAGGGACCTGGCCAGGCTGGGGCTGTGGNATGATTCCATGATTCTCTGATTCATGCAATTTTTCAATATTCTGGCAAAGCTGCTGTAGCCCTGGAGTGGCCTTGCTGGGACAACACTGCTCCAAAGCAGCAGCCTTTCAGCAGCCCCTGTGACTCCTGTTCCTACATCAAGGTGACCTTCCCCACATCTGCTTTGCCTCCTCATAGTGTTATTTTCCCCTCCCAGCCCAGCTGGGCTCAGCTCAGGAATCCTGGATCTCTCCTGGATCTCGACGGGTGGGGAAGGGGCTGAAGACTGGCAAAGTTCTGATGAACTTTGGGGAGGGAACATTAAATATCCGAGTGAAAAGGGGGGGGTTTGCCACTGCTGTAGGTATTTTTGTTACAGTTTAATTAGATTAGTGCTGTAGCTTTCCTGGCCAGCTGTTCACTTTGCAGACAGGCAGAAAAAAAAAATTCCGGCATTGCTCTCCTGCTGCTTTCATCTTGTAATGAGCTTGTTAGCAATTAGTCGCCATTGGAACGGGCTGCCGTGGTGTGGAGCAGCTACACGATGAGCTCTGTGCCCAAAGAGCTGATTTTTTGTAGTGGGAATTGGGTGGAAAAGGGGTTGGAATATAAGTGGTTTCGAGACTGATGGGCAGGACGCAGCAGTGCTCTGTTTGAGGGCAATTCCTTGGCACTTTGTGCTGGTTTGGCTGAGTTTGGGATTGTGATGCACAGGTGTAATTTGGGGATTTACAGAGAGTCATTCGGGGGCTTTTTTTTTTTTATTTTAAACACTTCTAGCCTGGAAATTTCCCCTTCACTCCTAATAGGCAGGTTGGGGAATTCATTGAAGACCTTTCAGTCTCTCTAAAGATTTTTTCCAACCCAGCCCTACCCACACACCTGCCAGGATCCATGGATGGCACAGCATATCCTGGGGAGAGATGGGATGTGCAGGGATTTCAAGCATCTGCTGGAGCTGGCAGAGATGAGGATGCTTTCTAGGGGAACAGGAAGGTTTTCACACCATCCTGCTTGTCCTGGTTGTTGATTCAGAGCCTGGATTTTTCCCAGTCTCGCCAGGCAGAAATAAATCCGGGATAAGTTTGAAGCCCCTGACGTGGCAAAGGGCTCACCCAGGACCTTGGAGTTTGTGCATCGTGTTTCAAGGCTGAGCTGTTCTAAAAAGAGGCCCCTTTTTATTAAAAAAGAAAAGGAAAAGGAAGCTGGAGAGGGGAGTGGCTTTTGCCCAGAGTTTCTGTTGCTCCCTGCTCCTCTTGTGTTTCATTTGTCTTCCTTTCCAAAAATCACCAAACCATGAGGACTCAAATAACTCTGAACAAATTAATCCTTGGGAAGGGGGGGAAAAAAGAAAAAAAAAAAGGAAGAAAATTCAAAATAAGTTGAAAAATTTGTCTCGTGGGAATGTCCCGAGGAAAGAATAAATCAAGAAATAAATGAAGCTTATTTTTGCAAGCTGCTTTGATTTATCCTTAATGATCCTTCCACTCTGCAGATGTGGCCTGGGAGGGGACCCCAGGGGTCACCCAGATGCTCCACACGTGTGTGTCCAGCTCTTTTTCCATCATCCCTGTTTTCAGCAAGGAGTTGCTGTTCCTTCCCTCTTCCTTCTGTGGGACCCAGAAGTTAATGAGCATCGAGTGGAGCTGGAGGCTCGTGTTGCAAACCAGGGCTGAGCACTCACTCCTGTGTTTAGCGAGAAATAACGGCCACACGTCACTGGAATTGTGGGTTTGGAGCAGGGAAGTGTTTTCCCAGGAGTTCTGCTCCTGCAGAGCTGTGGCTGTGGCTCAGGGAGGGCTAACACGGGGTGCTGGGTGGGGGGTGCTCACCTGCACTGTGGGTGCTGATGAAAACTTCTGATCTTTCAGCCCAAACCCGTTTGTTGAGGAAAGGGAGGATCCCTGACTGCTCTGTCTGCAGCCCCAGAGATGTTCTGGTGTAGGAATGGGTGTCCTTATCCCAAAAAAAACCCCCTGTGATTTCTATGGGCTGATCAAAGCAAAGCCTTTTTTGTTGGCTGTGTCTCCTTTTGTACCCTCTGACTGATGGGGACAGAAAATCCCATCCCTGGGAAAGCTGCTCCAGGTTCTTCCAGTTCAGTGGGTCGTTTTATTTGCCCGTTCATCTTCTTCACCCGTTCCCTTCCTGCAATCCCAGAGAACCCTGGAATGGTTTGGCTTGGAAGGGACCTTAAAGAGCATCCAGTTCCACCCCTTGCCGTGGGCAGGGACACCTTCCAGCAGCCCTTCCACTGTGGGGTCTGCGGGAGGGACCCTGAGCTGCTGTGGGGTCTGCAGGAGGGACCCCAGGGCATGGGGTCTGCAGGAGGGACCCCAGCTGTGGGGTCTGCAGGAGTGACCCCAAGCTGAAAGGTCTGCAGGAGTGACCCCAAGCTGAAAGGTCTGCAGGAGTGACCCCAAGCTGAAAGGTCTGCAGGAGGGACCCCAAACTGTAGGGTCTGTAGGGGGGACCCTGAGCTGCTGTGGGGTCTTCAAGAGTGACCCCAGGCCATGGGGTCTGCAGGAGTGACCCCAAGCTGTGGGGTCTGCAGGAGGGACCCCAAACTGTAGGGTCTGTAGGGGGGACCCTGAGCTGCTGTGGGGTCTTCAAGAGTGACCCCAGGCCACGGGGTGTGCAGGAGGGACCCCAAACTGTGGGGTCTGCAAGGGGGACCCCAGGCCACAGGGTCTGCAAGAGGGACCCCAAACTGTGGGGTCCACAGAGGGGACCCTGAGCTGCTGTGGGATCTTCAGGAGTGACCCCAGGCCATGGGGTCTGCAGGAGTGACCCCAAGCTGAAAGGTCTGCGTGAGGGACCCCAAACTGTGGGTTCTGTAGAGGGGACCCTGAGCTGTTGTGGGGTCTTCAGGAGTGAAGCCACATGATCTGCAGGAGGGACCCCAAGCTGTGGGGTGGGCAGAAGGGACCCTAGGCCATGGGGTCTGCAGGAGGAACCCCAAACTATGGGGTTTTCAGAGGGGACTCTGAGCTGCTGTGTGTCTTCAAGAGTGACCCCAGACCATGGGGTGTGCAGGAGGGACCCTCAGCTGCAGCGTTGCATGGGGGGCTCCAAACTGTGGGGTCTGCAGAGGGGACCCTGAGCTGCTGTGGGGTCTTCAGGAGTGACCCCAGGCCATGAGATCTGCAGGAGTGACCCCAAGCTGAAAGGTCTGCGTGAGGGACCCCAAACTGTGGGTTCTGTAGAGGGGACCCTGAGCTGCTGTGGGGTCTTCAGGAGTGACCCCAGGCCATGGGATCTGCAGGAGTGACCCCAAGCTGAAAGGTCTGCGTGAGGGACCCCAAACTGTG